TCCTTAGGGGCCCCCTAGGGGACCCCTAAAGGCGTCTTTGGGGGCTTCTAAGGGGGCCCCTACGGGGCCCAAGAGTAGTAGATCTTGCGGCTCTTTGTGCAGCCCCGAGAAGTCTCTGGGGGCCCTGGAGGTGCTGAGGGGCCCATGACAACAGCTGCTGCTTAGCTGCTGCTGCTGCTGCTGCTGCTGCTGCTGCTGCTTATCAAAGCTGCTGCAGGTGCTTGCTGCTGCGCTGCACAGGCCTATGTCTCCGCCGCCGCCTCCGACCCCTCCTCAGTGCTGCATGCAGCAGTTTTAGGGCTAGACCCCCCGCGGGCGCGTTCGGCTCTGCTGCCTGCTGCTGCTGCTACTGCTGCTGCTGCTGCTGCTGCTGCGCCGCCCGAGCTCGGGAGGGCGCTCCACCGCACAGATCCCAGAAGGGGATCCGATCCCAACGATCCCAGGAGCCTCTCTGCTGCTGAACAGGCCCACTGCCTCATAGAAATCGCCACAGACCCCAATATCCTTGGCAGAGCCTGGAAGGGCCTCATGGCTTTTATTTGAATTCATTTCCAACTCCTCTGCAGCCCTCAACTCAATGCGAAGCCCCAGCTAGCTGCGGGGCCCTTGGCTAGCTGCGGGGCCCTTGGCTAGCTGCGGGGCCCTCGGCTAGCTGGGGGTCTTGGCTAGCTGCGGGGTCCTTGGCTAGCTGCGGGGTCTTGGCTTGCTGCGGGGCCCTAGCTAGCTGAGGAGCCCTCAGCTAGCTGTGAAGCGGCTAGCTGAGGGGTCTTGGCTGCCTGCGGGGCCCTTGCTAGGTGAGCAGCTTTGGCTAGCTGGAAAAAGTTGGCTAGCTGAGAAACTTTGTCTAGCTGGAACCCGTTAGCTAGCTGGGCAACTTCGGCTAGCTGGGCAACCGTGGCTAGCTGGGAAATTTTGGCTAGCTGCGTCCACAGCAGTGGGCGCTGGCTAGCTAGCCAGCTAGTTGATTCTGGCCGCGCTAGCTAGCTGTCTACTTATCTAGCTATTTATTTAGCTAGCTAGCCATTTATCTAGGTAGCTAGCTGGCTATTTAGCTAGCTAGCCGGCTAGCTAGCTGTGTTTTGTTCCGCGCAATGAGCTTTAGTAGCAGATTAGTGTAGAGTTTTACAGGCATTGCTAGCGCTGCTTTTTTACCTGCGGGCTGGCGTAGGGCCAGCAGCAGCAGCAACAGCAGCAAGTAAAGGCTGCTGCAGCAGCAGCAGCTGCTGCTGCTGCGGCCATAGTTAAAGGCATGAAACATTAAGAGCCTGGCCGGTGTTGACCCCAGACCTAGAGCGACAGCGTGCGCGCTGCTGCTGCTGCTCTCGCCGCCGCTGCCACCGCAGCAGCAGCAGCAGCAGCAGCAGCAACAGCAGCA